TAGTCACAGTCATCATCTCCACTGCAACATTCATGCGCAACAAAAAGTCCAACCGGATCCTGCCTAACCGCCGCGTGAGAAGGAGGCCACCGACACAGCAGCCCTGGAAGCTCAGAAACCCCTTCAAGGTACCAGAAACTCCCGGAGAGAAATTCAGAGTAGATGAGGAAGAGCCAGAGGTCATCGTGGAGAATGTCAACTATAACAACAATGTGACCGATTTTGTTGTGAGACAATGGCCTCCGCCGCCGAGCGCCCCATCTCTTCCCCCTCCACCACCCACTTACATCCCAGGGCAGAGGCAGTGGGCGGTACCAACCGTCTCAGGAACAGTGGCACCCAAACCTAGAAAGAAGCCAAATATGAACAGACAGGACACTGTGAACTTAGCGCTGGTCTCAGAGCTCAAGATGAGATTTGAGCAGAAGAGGATGCTGAAACATTGATCGTGTTTGACAAAACATTCTTACCTTTAAGGTTCATTTAGTAGCTGTCCTGGAGCTTTCATGACCTTCATCAGCAGATCCAGTCCGCCCGCTTGTCATGAAAATGAAGACGTTCAAACTTTACATTTTGTCCCAGAACTTGAAGGTCTCTTCATCGATGTAGCAGTAAGATGAAATGGAAAAATTTAAATGGAATTTTCAAACATCCAGATGTCCAACAAGAGTATGATGATCATGTGATCTGGTCAAAAGCTCTAGAACAGATGCTAAATAGACCTTGAGAATTGTTTTTGTCGACTTGTGTTTTCAAGGTCAAGAAAGAACTGTGAAACTCACTCGTGTGTGTGTGTGTGTGCGTGTGTGTGCGTGTGCGTGTGTGCGTGTGTGTGCGTGTGTGCGTGTGTGTGTGTGTGTGCGCTTGTTTTTTCAGAAAGATGAAATACACTGAAACAGCTTAATTCCTTGTGTATCAACAATGTGATTTTCATGTGATGGAAAAAATATCCCATCATACAGATTCATCAGCAGTCATTGTTTGTTTCAAGTTTCTGTGTCATTCTGTTAAAGATGAATCCCACCTTTTGAACCATTTGTTGACACACTAGTGGCTTAAAGTTCCTCACCCCAGATCCCTTGTCGGGAATGAAGTCATTCAGATTTTAACAAGCGAGACTGTTTGTTTGGGATCCAACCAAGCTCCTTACAAGAGATTTCATGACACTTGAACTGACTAAAGAGATCAGCCCCAGGGACGGGAACCAAAGTGATCACGTTAAGAAGACCTTTAATCCTTCTGCGCAGGTGTAAAGCACCGTTTAGACCCCTGTTTTGCAGCAGTCACGATATGTTTATTTTCTGATCTAAAGGACTGCGTCTCATTTGTTTACTAATGTATTTGTGGTGTTTTTGTGTGTTCTTTTTTTTGTCAGAAAATTGTTGCTGTCAAAATACCTTTTACTACCAATAAAAAAAAGCTTAATTTGTCATTTTAAACTGTGGTGAATGAAGTATTTAGATCATTGTACTCAAGAAGACGCAGCAGGATTATTGATAGTAGATAAGAAATGCCTTTTAAAACATATTTAAAATTTTGAGTCACGCAGTTGATTCTGCAAATATTCAGTGGGACAGTGAGGCCTATCTGGTCACCACCAGCTACAACTGTCAAGGACTAAAACATGCTCAGATGATTAGTCTGAAGCCTTGGAGGTTCTGTGAAACACACAGAGAGACAGCTTCGTTGCCATTAGCTTATATCACCAACACCTCCTTAATGAGCCTGCAAATATACTCTACTGCCGCCTTCTGGAAAACGAGGAGAAGCTGCTACCACAGCCCACGGTGAAAGATAAAGAAAAAAGTGTGAGAAAAGATTTGAGATCAATGTTGCCAAATTCTCAAACTAAAATGACAATGACTAAAACTTATGCTTTTATGGCCTTGAGGGAAGTTTTGAGGAATTATATTGTTCCTCTTGGTGCAGCATGTGTTAAGCTTTTGTAAAAAATAATAAGTAGAGGAACTTATCCAAACACTGAGTGATAGTCATGTAGAACAACAGGAATACACATATGATGAGCATTAGAATGAGATGTATGAAAGTCTTTCACAAGAATATTACATTTACTGTTGTTTCTAGTCAAACCTCCCCAGATGTTCTGAAAATATGTAATATATTATCCCGACATTATCCTGAAGCGCTTACGCTCTCCTTAGCTCCAATATCAACGTGAGCACTACCAATTATGAAGTTACACTGAACCACTCACTGGGTATTTGTGTAGACATCATGAGCAAACATGCACACTATTTCAAAGTTACATAAAACATGTAATTTGCAGATTACCCTCTGTAATCCAAGGACCAATTTGTTCATCTTTGTACAATATTGCATCGTTGGCAAAAAAACAAAAGTCCATCTGCCCTGATTTAGTTTGGACTGACAAGATGTGTGTGACTTGCGTTGAACTGCCTCAGCTGGCACATGTCATACAGCTATGATGCCGCAGAGTCGACCCTGGGGATTTATTTTTTCCGACAAACTGAAAAATTGCCTCCGAAACTCAGATTATAGATACAAATGTCTGATGCGCTGTTTTTTTTTTTTGTAGATCACTACAGTGTGAAAGGTTCTTGAGGAACCAAACCTAAATTTTAGGTCAAAATTGTCGCACACATAAACAGAAAAAGTTTTCAGTTTTGCAAGCTGTTAATGCTCTCAAATGAAATGAGGGAATATGAGGAGCGGCCCAAATGATCATGCATTATGCCATGTAAGAGCCAGCCAGGATTACTGGGCTATTTCATAGAGGATTACAGAGTTAAAAGTTGCAAAGAGCATTGATGCTTTAGAATGAAAGAAAACTGTGCACAGGGTTCAAATACCCGGGTATGTGTTTGAAGCAGCAGATGTTTTACTGTAAAAAAGTAAATGAAACATTTGCTTTTCTGGATATGTTAACTAAGAAAGACGACATGTGTTTGGCATTGAAGTAACTCCTGATATTTGAACACTGCTACCCATGAGATCAGCAGCTTTTATGTGGCGTAGTGTTTATATAATACGCTGCATTACGCAATATTAGGGTATGTAAGAGAAAATAAGATAAGATAAATTGAATTGTAATTCATGTGTGTTCTGTGGTAAAATAACTGATATTTAGCGTCTGCCGAATCCACAGTCTTGTGTCATACACGGGATTACAACAAAAAGCAGCATCAATCTCCTAGCCGCCAATCATATAAACAAGCCTGTACAAGCAAGAAAGCAGATGTGACTGTGCTCCAGAAAATGAGAGCTGCCAATCTCAGCCAGTCCTTTAAAACCCTGCAGTGAACAGAAGCGGGCCCCAGCAGAGATGAACTGCTTGCATCACAGGAGACAGCACATGGAGATGGAGGAGGGGGGTCGTGTGATCTGATCGTAAAGTGACGGCCGGAGGGGATATTGGGAGAGGATGCCAGTGTTTGGGTATTAATGTCAAATGAACAATGCCATTGGCCGAGGCATATCCGACAGGCCATCTGTCTGGCTTGGTCGGCTCAGATCTTACGTGACACATGGCCTCTGTGTGTTGTGTTCGCAGAAGTGGGAGATGAGGAACTGTGACGTATATGTACAGTGACGCAGAGAGGATTTAACATATGTTAATGAAACTTTACAGTTACAGTTTGTATGAATACTACTTCATCATTTCAGTCACTTCAGTGGTAACTAACTGTGTAGATCCGATTCAGTCCTGTGAAATTATTATTATGAGTAGCTTGGTACTGTGACCTATGTGTTAATCAAATTTCAAGTCTGTTTTAAATCATTAATCAGGTACCTCTATGAAAAACAAGAGGTGACAGTGAACCGAACACCAGCAGAGCTTTGGTACATTTTATTGTACTGAATTTTGTTAAAGGTTACTAAACATGAGAAAACATTTTGTCTGAACATTGTCTTTTTAATTTATATGTCATTATTCTGAAAAACTCCATGATTTAAGAAACACCAGACATACTTCCAACTTCCAGTTATTCAAAAAATGTCTTTTACGTTTTGACCACAGCCCTTGTATGACTGACGTAGATCATGTGTGGTTGCAACCTATTGTATTGCTCGCCCCCCTGGTTCCGTGACCAGATAGTGAAATTATATTCCTGTTGTGTAGTCAAATGATAAGTTAATCTAAGCATCCCCATTGGCTATTCAGGAGGAAGCCTCACAATAGGGTCAAAAATACTGACTGATGCGTCAACACAAACTCGATGTGTAACTGAAAACCTCTTTTGTATCTGAACCTTTTTCATTCCTGAAAATATGTGTGCGGATCTTTGTTATGCACACACAGATTGGAAATTATATTTGCAAACATTTCATTTGCTCACAAAATATCATGCACTCATCTCCTTTTGAATTCAAAAATGTATTATATTTATTTATATATTTTTTACACATTCAAACAGTTGAATTATTTTGCTCTGAATGTAATCATACAAAATGTTTTTACATTTTCAGATATGCTGATACACTACAATACCTTTTACCCATTTTGATTCCATAGATAAATACATTAAACAATATCAAAGTGCTAACACAGTATTACATAAAGATAAAGTATGCAACTACTACTGAAATACTTTTAAAATCTCTGCTCATCAGCACTCATTCATTTTAATCAATCACAGAGGTTTTATATATAGCAGCGATTTGTGTGACAATTGAAATTTTAACATTTGTTAACAAGACACAAATGTCATATTTAAGACAGGAAAAAACAGCAGACAGGTGCAAATCCTTGAATAATACTCTTGACATAACGGTCATCATTCACATCTTTGCAACAAACTCTGCAGCCTAGAACAGAGGGAGAGATGAGATTAGAACCAAGGCAGACAACTTGATTATTCTTCTGAACATTGAACTTATAAGTGTTAAAATCGGTGTCATACAGCAGATCTATTTCTTCTATTCTATTTGACAAAAATAACTGATATACGTAGAGTGAGTGATTGGTCTATTACAAGGTCAGTTTCATGTTTTACCTTGTTGGCTTCACAACTAGTAATTTAATACAGTTCAGCTGCGAGTCTGCTGTGGTCGGCTTTGCCTTTATGCTGTCTGTCATCTGACCTTCTCCTCACCTTCCTGTCTTCACTGGAATCTTTATTAACCAGGCCCTCGTCGCTGGCAGCCTGCAGGCTGTCGAAGGTGCCCTGCCTGTCCCGCTCCATCCCGGAAGAGCTTCTCTCTCTCCGCCGGTTCTTCCAGGACTCCATGATACCCTCCAGGCAGGCAAACTTAGTGTCGGTGGTGCAGGCAAACATACCTATAGGGACCGCCAGCACCATGGCTAAAACTATAACCACTATATGTATCAGCTTCTCCCTCTGCTCCATTTCGGTAATGTCACTTCCTGTTACAAACACAATGCACTGGCCATTACGTGGTGCCTGGTTCTTAAGGGTTACACAGATTTCATATTTGGTAGCAGGCATCAGATCAGAGACGGAGTAAGAGTGAATCCCAGGGCCGATGAAGATCATTTCTTTCTTATCATTGCCTGCGCTGCCAAAGTGGATGGTGAACCAGGTTTCTGTAGGGTGGTCCAAAGCAGCGAACCACTTAATGGTAATACCACGGATGGTCTGTTTGGCAATGTGGATGTCAATGTAGACGTTTTCATCACTGGCAGCAGGTGGAACCGGTTTATCATAGAGGACTGATGACTGGGAGCCGTCTGGAGAGTGGATGTCCAGGAGGACGCTGACAGAGGAGTTTCCAATGAAGTTGACGGCAGTGCAGGTGTAGACACCACGGTCAGCAGCATGCAGAGAGGGGATCACCAGGAGGGATCTGATGGTGTTTTCTTCCACTCTTTCCTGAGACTCTGGGAGGCAAACAGGGATATCCATTTTTATTTTAAAGGATATGCAAGATTAGACAATAAATCTCATTTTGGGAAAACTAATTTTGTTGATAATCTTAATACATTTTTCCACATATCAAGTTGAATTCAAATTATTTCACCAAATTCAGGTAACTTATATTCTGAGATGGGAGAAAAAGCCAACGAATTAAGCCACTCAATTAAGAAGCCCATTAAGAAGAAAGCCTGAACAATAATATGATCGCTTCACACACACAGGGATACAAAAAGCATAGTGGCACAGACATAGACCTGGAGCTGCAACTAACTATTATTTTGTGTAAATCTGAGGTGAAGTGAACAACTTGCTGTGTTTGCAGTCCAGAATCTTAAATGTATTCTAAGAGAAAGAAAAGAAGCAAATCCTCACAATTGAGAAGTTGAAACCCGAAAATGTTCGCCATTTTGCTTTAAAAAATAATAAAAAATATTTATGAGTTGATTGTCAACAAAGTGGGTAATTATTTAAGATCTAATAAATATGTTAGGGGGGGATTATCTCTTTTGGGGATAATCGTTACATGGTCCATGCATATAATATAACATAAGAAAAATATAGCAGAAAAATGTTTTCTCACCGGTGCAGTTGATTTAAAACTGATGTAATTACAAAGAAAATTTGTGATCACTTAAGAAATGAAGGCTGAAAATGTTGTCTTTGTATAAATTTAACTAATTATCTAATAATTTAATAACATTAACAATTGCAAATGACTTACTAGCTTTTACTATCGGCTTATCCAATCCTTTATTAATTACTTATTCACACTTATAACTGTAGACTTTATGGGTATAGAGTGAGGCAAGTGTTACCCTTTTTAATTACTCTTAAATTACCTGATTATTAATGACTCCGAGCAAGGGGGATATTTCCTAATCTTGCTTATCTGAATTATAAAAAGCATTAATGAATCATGTGGAAGGAGCTACAATGTATAAGCGCTTTATAAATAATACTTTGTTAAAAAGTGTAGTGTTGATGTTGTATTTTGAGGACTATTTTTTATTTGGTTCTTAAATGTGTGTAAAAGTATACTTTTACTTAAGTTTGCAGCTACTCGACCCCAAATCTTTTTTTTAGGTGGATCAGTGTTAGCAACAGACGGTGCTAGTGATAGCAGGGACACTAGCAGCAGCGGCCTGGTTTGTTCATGATGAACTGTTTACTCGCAGTGATCTGCAGCACAGGGCACTCTAAATATTAAGTCTGATGACACAGATTTTTACTTAATTAAACAGTATAGCCCAACACGGCTGACATTAGGTAGGCTATAGTGCACTATAATCTCCAACACTCTTAATCGACACTGATGGTGTGCAGATTGAGAGAATCAGTGGTGATTATCACGGAGGGCCAATATCCAGATTTAGATCTCCTCATTTTAAAGAGGGGTTATAAGGTCTGCGATTAAACCGTATTTAAGTATCTAATTTACCACAAGATATCACTCCGGGTGTGTGTGGATGACATGTCGTGGACATCACACTCTTACCATGAAATCCTCTGATTATCTTCAGACCATATGTCCACCACACCGCGGGGTCTGGCCGGGCCTTGGCGATGCAGCGCAGGGTGAGGTTTGCGCCCTGAGGCAGGCTGATGTTGGAGGACGGGGTGGAGACGATGGGCTTCACGCACGCCTGCAGCTCTACCTCATGGAAGAACTTGCCCGCCTTAAATTCCGGCCCTGAGCAGGTCAAGTATGAGTTCATTAGTATAATAGGGGGGCTCAGGGATCTGATGAACTCCACGAAGCCCTTCAGGCGGCAGTCGCATACCCACGCGTTGTCGTGGAGCGCGAGGACGACGTTCGGCCCGAAAGCGGGCCCCTCCCGCTCCTCCGTGTTCTGTACTTTCTGGTAGAGAGGCCAATTTTGGAAAACCTCTTTCGATATGACCGTAAGCCGATTGAAGGATAAGTCTAAGTAAGTCAGATCTGGCAAAAATTTCAACGCATGCTCGGGCAGGACGTCCAGCTTGTTGTGCTTCAGGTCCAGGATCTTCAGGGCCGGCGTGTCTTCGAACGCTGTCCATGGTACTGAACGGAGCTTGTTCCCTTGCAAACGGAGCTCGGTTAAGTTTACCAAACCCTCCAGACCCTTTGAGTTGATCACTGTGATATCGTTGAAGTTTAACCACAAGTTTTCCAAGGCGGGCGTCTGTGAGAATGCCCCTCTGGGTATTTCAGTAAAGTGAGATTTTTCTATTCGTATTTTGGTCATATCATCTGGAAGGTTCTCTGGTATGGCCCCAAACGCACTCTCTTCCATACATATGAGCGACCTACGATTAAAAGGAAGAGTTTAATTGAACAGTTGGGTACTATGTAGTGTGGAATAAAGTATCCATATAAGTATCCATATAAGTATCCATATATCTATATCTATATATATATATATACATATGCTTTATAAAAACAATAGACTAGGGCCACAAATTGGAGCTACAGACCTCAATCTAGCTCTAAATTGTTTTACTTAACAATTTAAGTAAAAATCTTAAATTGTTTCTTTTTTTGAAACAATTTAAGATATGCACCTTCATGTAACCATATGTCCTTGATTCATTTTCCGCCACCTACTGACACAGTTAAAAGGTTAAAAATACGTCTGCCATGGCGAAGCTTGGACTGCATGAATCAGGTCTTACCTTCCATGGCGGTCTTCTACGCAGCTGCACCCACCTAAACATTGAAGATACGTTTCGTACGCCTGGATGTTAAAGAAAGCAACAACTAGCACGTAACAAATTATGTCCATAGTCCGCGAAATTTCATAAAATTGAGTGCTACATTCGTGCTCAAGACATGTCGAGTGCGGCAGACGAGTGAAGCCTATTAAGTCTAATCCCTGACGTACCGAGTAGCCTACTGAGACAAATGGCGTCTAATTCTTTGTGTAGACGCGCATGATTAACACCAAGACAGTGTGAGCAGGTTTGACCCTCTATATGTCGATCTTTATGAATTGTTTGAAACTAATCATCTATAAATGCTTATAGATCACTTATATGCTATTAATAAGAACAAATGTCTGAGTTGCCAGTTGGTGAAAAGTATACCCTGACTGGTGATTTACCGTTTTTATTTAACAACAATGAAGTTCTAAAAGTTTAAAATCCATTAATAAATACCTGCAAGTTTCACTCTCTAATCAGCCATCAAGTATGCAGCTATACAGGTTAGTAAATTATTAATAATTTAATTTTGGTTGAGATTCTCTGCATGTTTTCTCAGAGAATAACTGGTCCATTAGATGGTTTTATTGATGAATTAAAGAGCCATAAAGAGAACAGTCCTGCTGGGAAATCTGGTGGAATTTTTCACCGGCTGACAACCTTGAAGTTGTTATTGTCAGTACCTTATAACCGATAAATTGTTGGTACATTTCTTATGAGCAATAATAAAGCTGTCACAACTTACAAACCCTTTAGGGGGACTTATCAGGAAGTCGTACCTTTAAGTCGCAGACTACCTGAGACAGACACTGACAGTCAAGAGATGGCAAATACTGAACTCATTCCATGGAATAAGTTTGTTCAAACCAGCCACATAAATAAAATAAAGAATATAATCTGTATCATCCTTTTGAAATGAATATCTATCAACATGGTGTGATGAAACAAGACATAAGAAGACAAAGCACCACTAACTGGATATGTATATAAAAGTTTATTCAACTATTCAAATAATATCATTGGAATGAATAGATCTACATTTAAAAGGGTAATGATGGTGGCACAAAACATGTACATGAAGATATTTCAGTATGTGTCTCACTGCTGGGAATAGAAATCGTTTAACATTTCATTTAGCATCATTTCCACCCTATTTACATTGTGTCATAGTTCAGTCCTTTCTGTACTTCTCTCCAGCTCCAGCTTTCCTCCACACACCAGAGTGTTGAACCATGCCTATGTGTATATCTTCTCTGAGAACATATGACAGATATATACAGAGGCACAGACTTAACTGTATTATGTAAGTGTACATCATGCAGTAAAGTATATACAATTCATACACATACATTAATGATATCAACAATAGAGTATCTACCAATCAGTTCCCTTTAAGTCAGATCAGGTTGCACAGGTTTCTTCGCTGGGCCATGCAAGTGAGATGAAAAATAGTTTAATTGCTATGCTCTTTCAGCTTTTAGACATGTTTTTTCTTACAGGCTTAGTGATCAAAACATTCTTTTAGACATAAAAGCATGTGCACACGTTATTCATTTATGCACACATGAATGTCAGTGAAGTGAGTTTCGCTCTATCTGTAACTATCTGTCTGAAAAAAAAACAAGTTAATTATGATGTTAAATATTCCTCTAAACTGATATTTCCATTATAGTGCAGCGTGCAAAAGTCCTTTGATAGAAGTTGGATCTCTGTGGCGGTGGAGTTGGTGGCGTGATCCAGCGAGGAGGGATGGGTGGGGGGGAATCCCATGGTGTGGGCGTACGGGAGCGCGTGGGAGGGGGACTGATGTCAGGTTGTTGCTGAGAGTGAGAGTACGGGCAGTGATGGGGATACGGATACGGATGTGGATGGAGATGGGGGTGGTGATGGGGATGCGAATGGGTGTTAGCGGTCTGACCGGGACGTGGATGCAGGTACGTGCGAGGAAGATGGTGTGGAGCAGGAGCCGGAGCTGGAGCATGATGTCAGCAGAAGTACTCGTTAGGCTGTCCCTCTATCTTAGCTGTTGCCTCAGAGTCCAAGCTGGAGCGGGCTGAGAGCAGCCTGTTGGACTCCTCTGGGTTCAGTCTGTTCAAATACTCCCCCTCGAGCCCTTTGGCCTTCGTGCCAGGCGACAGCGTTTCAAAGGTCACGTATGAATCTTGGATGTCCTTGGATTTCTTTCCCCAGTACTTCTGAATGCGTCTCTTCAGAGCCCCACAGCACACGATGACAGTGAGCGGGACCGCAATTATACAGGCCACTGTGATCACAATCACATTTATCAACCTCTGGGTCCCAGTGGCACTGGCTGCTTCATCAGTGGAAAATATGACGCACTGCTCTTTCTTGGGGATCAGCCCCCTCACACACACACAGGCAATATACTTGGTCCTGGGCACCAGCCCGTTGATGGTAACACGGTTGTGTCCCGCCCCAACATTGATCTTCCTCATGTCCCTCTCTCCAAACACAGCATACAGCACACTAAATGCTGTTGTGTTCTTGGCCTTAGGGGCTCTCCAGTTCAAAGAAATTCTATTGTCTGTGTCACCCACCACTTTTACTGAGCGGACCACCCTGTCCGGGTCCTGCTGCAGCGATGACGTGTTGGCCGCCAGGTTGCTTAGATTAGTCTTCTCCAGATCCAGCAGCGCATCTGGGTTGGAGGAGGTGGCAGGCCCGGGGGTTGCTCTGTCAGCTAGGCTGTAACTGGCTAGTCCAGGATCAGGACCAAGGCCAGGTGGAAGGCCTGGATCCAGGGCAGGCAGTGATGAAGGTGTGGAGGTTGGAACCACATATCTTGCCACCAGTTTCTCCTGGTAGGCAGCTTTGCCCACCGGGTTGGGTTTCTTGACTTTGGCTTTCTTGTCATTGCTGGTTTGGTTCCCCTCTGGTTTTGGTGAGTTAGAGACAATGAGAGAAATGACAGCTTCAGCGTTCCCAGCATAGTTAGTGGCCTTGCAGATGTATTTCCCTGAATCCCGATAGGACACAGCTGGGACCCGGAGGATGGACCAGGTGATTCCCTCCTTTGAGGTTTCCTGCTGGACTATGGTGGCAGAGAGGGGAGAATATGATCATTACAAAATGATTACAAAAGGACAATGAGAGAGAAAATTTAAATATGAGAAATATCCCCTTTCATTGATGTGCAATTGATTACACAATGTTGCAATGGTCATCAGCAGTGTTGCATAACTCATTGTTGTAGCCATAGCTGTCAGTCAGACTTACAACCTCACTCACTCCACTGTTAGCTTTCTGTTTAATTAACAGCAGCACTACAGTGCGTAAAAAAGCATCTTATCTCAGTCACAACACACAGAGAAAGACTCACCTGTTCCATTAAGGAGTCGCCCATCTGCCTTGCGCCATGACAGGTCTGGGATGGGGACTCCAATGGTGCCACAGCGGAGCAGCACATTGTTCCCAACAGCGCTCCGGACTCGTGCCACAGCTGTGTGGATACGTGGGAGCTGACAGCGCCGCAACTCTGCGTCACTGAACAGGACCCCTGATACACTTTCCGGTGCTGAACACCTCAGCCTCGTGTCAATGAATGCCACTGAAAGAGTCGGAGACTTCTGGAACTGGACCAGGTCGTAGAGCCGACAGTCACACACCCAGGGGTTGTCATGCAGACCTGATGGTGAGGGCACATGTGAGGTTACAGAAGGAAGATGAGCGTCCAGCTGTGTGCAAAGTGATAGACCCGCCTGCAGATGGCCGGTGTGGATGTAAGGATGTTAATCCTGTAAGAGGATTAACATTTAATTCATAAACTACATCATGGCCATGACTACGACGACGACGATGATGATGATGATGATGATGATGATGATGATGATGATGATGATGATGATGATGATGATTATGATGATGGTGTCAGCAGACTAGTGTCCAAGGTCAGGTCTTGCTGTCATTTCACCCTCCTGAGCTGACCCTGGAACAGCTGTCCACTGTTCTGAGTATGAGAATGGGTTAAACATGCAGAAGATGAGTAAGGGTAAAATATTTTTTTTTATTTTACACACAGATGGATAGATATGAAATAAGTGTCAGTAGGAGCTGTTGAAAAACATATTAATAAACACTTACACCCGATATCTGCTCAGTGGGCTATATTGCAAACCATTTAGACTGTATGGCTTAGAAATGCTAAATAGCGTTAAAATAATGTGTTACTTTGGTCTTTAAATGCTAATTATGTTACATCGTTTTTCAAAGCAAATATCGTCTTCAAATATTAATGGGGCAAATGTTATTATGTACTACCAACCTACTCTTACCATACATCAAATGATGTGTTGCTTAGCAACTGTTTTGTCCAGCTGATGTTCAACAACGCTGCTTTGTGCAAAATGAATTAACGTTTCTTTACGCACAGTGTTTGACAGCGCGCTTTTTGGTATTGTGAACCTAGGCAGGCGTAAACCACGACTGAAGTTTTAGGGGATTTACCAAGTATCATCTTGGAGCTCTCTGGACCTTGCACAGGTTTCGCCGCCAGCCAGGTGGAAAGCACCTCAGTCGGCAGGGTCAGCAAGCTGTTGCTGGACAGATCCAAGTAGGTGAGGTTTTTGATGTAAGTGGTGGCCTCCGCTGGCAGCGAGGGGAGCTGATTGTTGTGCAAATCGAGAAGTCTGAGACTCTGCATATCCATGAGAGATTCCCAGGGAAAGGCGGTGAGGGCATTCCCGTCCAGACGAAGCTCTTCCAGGTTGAGCAGTCCCCGGAAACTGTCCGGGCTCAAGGCGGACAGTGTGTTGAAAGACATCCACAGGAATTCCAGACTAGAGAGGTAGTTGAAGGCTTCGCTCGGTATCCGCTGGATGGCCGTCTTCTCAATCCGCAGCTTGGACGTGTCAACAGGAAACCCGACAGGCACAAGAGATATCTCGGGATCATTGCAAATCACGCTCCTAAAAGGGAGACATCATTGGAGAATGTTTGTTCACCTCCAAATCATACGACCCAAATTACGCATTTAAGAACATTTTTAACAAAGTAAGTGAAACATATAGCAATTAATTAGAAATTAGCATTAAAGTCTGAGATGAAGGTTTTGAAGTCCAGAGGATACAAAAATATGTGGTAAATTCCCAAGCATAAAAAATGCTGTGGCTAATAATTCTGAAAAAATATTGATTTCCCAATCCATCCAAACTATCCAAAGTCGCATAAAACGCATAGATGGGGAGGTTGAAAGTGCCTTTGAAAGATAATCCTGCATTAAATAAAATTGGACCGACATGCACTCATTGAATTATCTCTTGTACACGTGTTCACCTCGATGCAAACATCTGTCCTTATATAACGACGATACAATACCGTATCAAAATATGCAAGTCTGCCAGAGCACTTTATAATGTGTTTTTATATGAAGTAATGTTCTATTGGACATCTTCCTTACCTGGCCTTTGATCCATCACTCAAGTTGTGGTAAAAACAGCTGCACTGCGACGGGCAGGAGCTCACTGGGGAGAGAAGTTCACCTGTGGCCGCGTAGAGCCCCAGGAGCAGGACGAGGAACATTTTGGCCCACTTTTACGCATACGCAGTTTGGCTACATGCGCCCAGTTTGCGCCCACTGAAGTCAAACAGACTTGCTTTTTTCTCTCATTTACAGGAATATCATCCGCATTGCTTTGTCCCACCGCTTCGCTGTCCCATAGTGATCGGACTGCTATGAGTCCCGAGATAAAAAGGATAGACAAGGATTAGCGAAAGGACTGGCGTTCTTTTCATTTGGATGCGTATTGCATCCCGGAATCCGATAGGCTGAGCAGAGACGTCCCTATTTATTATCACAGAAAAACACTTCCGAAATGGTCATAATCCACTGTGATGTTTGGATTTTTTCTTTCCCTCAAATGTAGTTTGTGCATATGAGCCCTGCCGTGACTGTTAATCTGTAAATGGACAGCACTATGTTCTACCACAAGGTGGCCTCTTTATCCCAGCCTGCGGCTCCTACCTTGAGACCTTCGCACAGATGCTCATTTAACATTTCCTTAATCCGCAGTCCTTTTTTCAAATGTATTTTTTTTTTTTTTCACAAAACAACGAATATCACTGCAATTAGAATGCAGATATAGAGACGTTGATGTAAAATGAACAATACTATGAAAATACTTGTTTTCATGTAAAGTAAGAGAAAAGAAAATGACCCACAGTTGGGGCCTGAACCACTGACAAGATGTTTCCAAAAATGAATCAAATAATTTCCTGCATAATGTCTCATCAAGGAAAATGCCCATTCTTAAAAGTTGTACTACTTTTGGCACCCCCTCTTCATCCCATTTATGTATCTGCACGTAAATTACGCATATAGACTATTAATCAACAGGAAACAAAGTAGTGTTTTATAAACCAACACAAAATGTAAAAATAAAGAAAACGACTAAAATAAGTAAGAAATGTATGTTTATCAGTTTGAGTGAAAGAAACTCACAGTGGTCTTTAGATTTCCCCTAGTTAGTCCAACACTAGAGGAAAATACCTCCCATTGTAAGGTTTGTGTTTTGCTGTATTGGTAAATCCATGTGTTATTTGGCACCTGTTCCTTGTGTTTCCCCTTGCATTGCATCATGCTGGAAGTTCAGTGTAACACTTGGCTGGCACTGCAAAGTGTGCCGACTCTGGCCTGAAGATCTGACGAAACACACAAAACACTCTTTAATGTGTTTGAACAAAGAACCAACATTGCATCTGACTCACATTTCACGACAGTGCCAGCTCAAAAAGGTTTGATAGAGATTAATACATCCTATAGATTGATAATGACAATAATAGTTACTGAATTATGTGCGACATATGGATATATTCAACTATTCCTTCTTTGCCCTTTACTAAATAGTTATTTCACTCTTCTTTTTTTTTAAATCCCTTCAAATCACAGGTTGATCAGTATGTATGGTTTTACAACCTTTCAGGTCTGTGTTGAGCCTCTAAACGTGTTGTGAATTCATGTTCCCTCATGTTGAAAATTTTAAACATTCCATATTGCAATAATCTCATTTACTGAATCCAATAAAGCGGCCCCTTTACATTGTATGAATTAGAAGACTGGACCTTACTTGAGGTGCAATGTCATCCTTAGTGTGCAAAAAGCCTCATAAGAACAGAAGTAACATTAGAATAAATGGGATTTGGGAGTGTTTGCTGTATCATACCCAGCATTACTGGGTTAATGAAGCAAGAGTTGTCAGATCAAACGTTAGAGTTTGCATCAGTGCACAAGCGCTTTGAGCAGAAAAGGCCATCAAAAAACATTGTATACACTTATTTGTGACAGTACACACTTTTGAGGATGTTTTTGAATGGTATGGAATGTTTGTTGATTTCTTAAAGCATTATTTTATATATATTTTTAGTGTAACCAATTTTAAGATGGTAAATTTGGACCAAAAAAAGGAAGAAGCATGCAAAAAAAGTGACAACTGCACACTTAAACTCATGTTTGGGTCAATCAAGGTCACAGGGATTTCCTGTTGTTGTTTGGAGCCATTTGTTTTTAGTGGGATGTAAAGTGTCCTAATATTTAAAAATATATATTGTATATAATGGATCTTGACCATTGGCTTTCCATATCATTAAGCACTTTTCATACATGTTCACCTATATTTCCCAAGATTTCTGATCTTATAATCCTGAGACTAAGAGAGACTTCAGTAACACAATGTTAGGCTTGTGTCCCCTCTATCCCTTTGGCATGAAAAGCTGCAAATTATGTCGCAACTGAAACGTGACAAATGCATTGAAGGGTGGAGATGACGGCTGGATTTCATGTCATTTACATACTTGTTCCGCTTAATTGGAACACATGATTTTATTGTACAACACATTTATCCCTTATCACACAGGAAACTCCAGACTGAATCACGCGTCTTTTGACACATGTGTCTGCGGTTCCAAACGGCAATTTTGTTTTGTCCTCTATCACTCCAGGCAGATGCCATATTGGTTTAATCTCTTGAGGTCAGTGAATCTATCAAAAGTTTTATTCCATACAAAGAAAAAAAAAATGCACACAAAGCACGTGCTGACGTCCAGTTTCACATCCACAAGTCAAAACAGAGCCTACCATATGGGACAAAATATTTAAAAAAGATACAGATCAACAGTACTCACATTGATCCTCTGTAGTGTCACATTAATCCCTTTGTGTCATTAATCAGCGAATGGGGTTACTGCAATGAATTGAAACACATCAGAAACATTATATTTTAATATAAACTGGGCTTAAACTGCAGTGGGTTGATGTGCTGGAAAACTGGAAACGATAACTCCTTGCTTGCAGATAAGACACCATGTGTCTTTACACTTATTCACACACAAACATATATATAACATTCATGCACAGCCTTTGGCAAGAACATGGGCGTCCAAGAATAATGGTGTTATTATCGTTGGTGTTAATGGAGGGGAAACTTCTGATGTTGTGGTTGGAGGGTTTTGTCTTCTCCTTAAATGTGAGTGTAGTTTTGATTGCCGGGAGGCTGGATCTCTGCAGACACCTGTTGTGTCTCCTTAAAGCCACTCAACGCTGTGAGCTGCATCAAACGCGTCGTCTCCTCTCGTCCTTTGACATTGCTCCGCGGCTGCATCCTCACCGGGACGCAGAGATACAAAGGCTTTTTGTGTAACTAATTGAGGGCTTACTGTTGCGGTGGCTAAATACGCATTAAGGGTTGAGGTTTGTGTGGTTATGTTCATTAAGACATTCCTGCACGGATTGGGGCGACAGAGAGTGCGAGGGCTTTACATAATAAAGTGCATCCTTTTCACGTGAAATGCCCCTTTAAAAGCGCTCTCCCTCAGCCACATAGAGGCACATCGTAAACGAGCGGGTTGGGAGGAGTGAAAGGTCTTTGACACTTTGTTGTATCAATTCGACTTCAGGATGGTCTCGTCTTACCCTTTACCGGACGGCTTCACCGACTTCGATGTGTTTTCACTGGGATCTTGTCTGCTGGTGGAGGGTGAGTGTTTCTCTTTTGTGCTGTAAATCAGCCAAAACTACTGCGAGGATACGAGGGCTGCACCCGCTGAGTAACGTTATTAACCTATGGCAGGACCTGACGCCACCCGGTCACTGACACTAGGTGGAGGGAGGCAGAGACTGTAGCTTTCTCTTAAGACTCGCACATTAACCTACACGTACAATCTGTTAACACAATGCATGGCTGCGATGTTTGAAAGGAGCATGTTTATGAAATGCCACGGTGCTGCATGTGACGCAATAAGCATCGCTGTGCGCACTGATTTCCATTCACCGCCGCACACTGCCTTCATTCATGATTGTTAATTTCTGTTCCACCAAAAGGTCTGCTGGGCTTCTTTCTAAATGCGGTGACAATCGTTGCTTTCCTCAAAGTGAGAGAGCTAAGGACCCCCAGCAATTTCCTAGTGTTCAGTTTAGCGATGGCTGATATTGGCATCTCTATGAACGCCACCGTCGCCGCTTTCTCCAGCTTCCTGAGGTCAGTGATGTAACCACCCCCGTAAATAATGAATACCATGGGAAATTTATTGAGCAAATACTACCTGGCTACCTGTTCCCGAGACGAATCTACACGGAGCTGTATAATCGATACCGGGAGGAACACAGGGTTGTAAAGGGGAGGGGAGCGGTCAATACTACACAGCTGAATAAAGGTTATATGTCAAACTGTAATTACGAGATGAAATATGCTGCTTTCAGTGTTCACCAGTCTAGGGATTATATATATATATATATATATATATATATATATATATATATATATATATTTTATTTTATTTTTTTTTTATTTATTTATTTTTTTAATATATAGCCTCCTATTATTATTTATTCCCACAATCTAAAATAGTAAATTCATGGATTGCTTACATCAATCAGTTTTAGTGTATTTGGTAAATTGTTACTTATTCTTAGTACATTTATGAACACACCCTTTGTCTCAAGGTACTGGCCTTATGGCTCTGACGGATGCCAGACTCATGGTTTCCAGGGCTTCGTGACAGCTCTCGCCAGCATCCACTTCATAGCCGCCATCGCCTGGGACAGATACCACCAGTACTGCACTAGTAAGTCCTAGTAAAATGCACAGTTACAACCAAATGCATTTTGCTTTCCATACCCCATGAAGCACAGGCTTTCTCTCTCTCTCACACACACACACACACACACACACACACACACACACACACACACACACACACACACACACACACACACACACACACACACACACACACACACACACACACCCAATCAAATGCTGAGTGGGTTTTTGTTCTCGGTCTCCAGCTGATCTTAAGACCTCTTGCTAATCTGAAGAGACCAGCTGGTTACAAGTGGCCTGTTGTCTTTAAATTTGCCACAGACCATGGCCATGAAGGAATAAAGACCAAATAGCTAGTGAAGATAACCAACATTGTTTCCCAAGTTGCAGTTTTTTGGTGTTAAAACTGCAACCTGGGAGACTTGTGTGTTGAGTAAAATACATTTCTTCTCATGGTCAGAAACAATTTAGCTCCATCGCTATTTTTAGCCATCATTAATAGCAGGATACGGGAGGAAGTGGAAGTGACTGAACATCTCACCTGCAGTTCACACTATTTTTCTGTGCTTATAAGACAGCTAGTTACTGTGGTATTAACATGTTAAAACAAAGTGCTTCTGCAGTAGTGTGACCTTTTTTGGAGGTGTTAGAAAATGTCATGATGAATGTTTTGAACTTGCTTTCATCAGGGACAAAGCTGCAGTGGAGCAGCGCCATCACTCTGGCTGTATTTGTCTGGCTCTTTACTGCTTTCTGGTCTGCCATGCCTCTCATTGGCTGGGGAGAGTACGACTACGAGCCCCTCAGGACCTGCTGCACTCTGGACTATACCAAGGGAGACAGGTACTGTGTACGCACATACACTCTTCACTATCAAGATAAACATGGATGTCTTTGCATACTCTATCCCTCATTCTGATTAGTTTAAACTGATTTTACAGCCGTATGTGCATTTTTTTCTCCACAGAAACTATGTTTCCTATTTGATCCCCATGAGCATCTTCAACATGGCCATCCAGGTGTTTGTTGTTATGTCCTCTTACCAGTCCATTGCACAGAAATTCAAGAAGACTGGCAACCCCAGGGTAAGTTAAAAAAAACATACGAAATCCAACAACATCGGATCAGATGTATAATGTGATTCACAAAGATTTAAAATTAAGTTGGCATAGTAATTCTATCAACACATAGACAGACTGACTCTGTTTTGCTTTAGTTGCTCCAAAACCAAATTGAATCACATGCTTGCTGGAATTTAGAAATGATAGTTGGTAGTTGTAAGTAACAGAGAAGTTATAACTAATGCACAAATCCTTACAAATATGCAATCCACATCAAGATTCTTCCTGCCTTCCTTTGAAGTCAGAGTTAGAATGTTACTAAATGCATTTACTCAAGTACTGGACTTAGGTCCAAATGTGAGGTACCTTACTTTTTCTTTTCAAGCCTCTCTCTATTTCTACTATGCTACATTTCAAAATACTTCGTTTTTTTAGGCGCTACAGTTATCTGACAGCTTCAGTTACAAATTAAGATTTCTACATCAAAAACATATGAGCTTATAAAATACATCGTCTTATAAATTAAACTAGCCAACAGTATATACAAGTGCAGCTGAAACAATTAGTAGACAAAAAATGAATTTAACATTTTTGATAATTTAAGTCATTATTTAATGCAGACATTTCATGGTCCCAGCTTCACAAATGTGACGATTCGCTGCTTTCCCTTTTATTTAAATATCTTAAATTTTCCTGATTATGTTTACATTCTTTTACTTAAGTACCAATGCAGGAATTTTACTTTTAACAGGATATTATTACAGTGTGATACCAGTGCATTAACTTAAAAAAAGAAAGATGAATACTTTATCCATCCATTGGAAGAAATCATAGAAATCCTCTTTATATTGACATCAATTTAATCTCTTCCTGTCAGCACAACTTTCTCACATCCTTATTTAGACTGACAAACAGACAGTGAATGGAGAGCATGCAGGCTGTGACATATGTAGGTCAATGCCTCAGGGGGAAGACCGGGTGCTTCAGTTGGGAATGCGGGCAGTAGCTGGTGTGTGTTGAAAAGAACAATGTATCTGTGAATGGGGAGTCCAATAGTGGAGTTCCTCAGGGGCTAAATCAGGTTGCTTCACTTTATGTTGCATAAGCCCTATTACTCACAGTCATCTGAGTTGGTTGGAGACACTTTCATTACACGCACAAAGGCTGCAGAGTAGCGGCACTATGCTCTCTACCAGAGCAATGGAATTGTGTAATGTAACGTCATGCAATGTATGCCATAAAAACCTGGAGAGATACAGTTGTCCAGATTTGTCCCATGGCCAAGAAGTGGTGAGAAGTTGTGTCTGATGTCGCTTCATAGATATCCTTATATGCCTCTGTAACTGGCTCTTCAGGCTTAGGACTCCTATAGTCAGGACAAACTAAACTTTAGTACAAACTTAGTTCAAACCTACTTTTTTTTTTTAGAGCTGCCAAAGTTTCCAAAAGCTGCCAAATGTGTATAAAATGATACACAAGACAGCTGGAATATTTCCAATTCATGGAAAGTTCAGCCATAAAAACATGAAGTTGTGGGTTTGAATAGTTCACTTAGTGTAACCATCATATATCTTCAATGCAGAGTTGAAAGAAGCTGATGCAGAATATATATCAGGCAGTGTAGAATAAAATAGTTTTTTCCAACCTTAAAGCTACTTAACAACAGGGGACCCTGTATGTTAAGAGGTTAAATATATCTCTGAACTCACACTTTGACCCCTGGATTACAGCAAACTGCCCCTTTACTCGCGAGCTGTTTCTGTTTTCTGCTGAGCATGAATAGGCTTAACATAGACACAGTGATTCTCCCAGATGTTATCCCAGGCGTGTGACTGGACCTCATGACACAAGGCATTTTTGTCTCCTTCACTCCCTTTGTTAGATTGGTAATCATTCATGTTTTGTACCTCCTTCTTACCTCTCTTTACCCTCTGCAGTTCAATCCCAACACTCCTCTTAAGACTATGCTGTTTTGCTGGGGACCCTATGGCCTCCTGGCTTTCTACGCCGCTGTGGAGAACGCCACCCTTGTCTCCCCCAAGCTCAGGATGGTAAGGACAGCCAGCACAAAGATGCACACAATAACCCTCCACTGTAACCTATTGGTGCATCGATTTTCACCGGGATTGTTTAATTTTTTGGAGGGAGGATTTGGATTTTGATATTGTCGTAAAGATTTTAGTCTAAGTGTCTTTAACTAATTAGCCGAACAAGCAATTATGCTTGATAACTGTATTCTAGTGCATTTTCAGGATAATCTGCTCCTTGTGGTCTTTTAAGCATTAACAACCTTGTCATGCTGGCACCTGTCTCTGCAGATAGCTCCCATACTGGCTAAGACCTCTCCCACCTTCAATGTCTTCCTCTACGCTTTGGGAAATGAGAACTACAGAGGAGGCATCTGGCAGCTCCTCACTGGGGAAAAGATTGATGTGCCTCAAATTGAGAGCAAGTCCAAATAAACTAAGCATGCGATAATTACAAACACTTACTGTCATGGTGGTTTCTTACAGGTACCTAGATGTTTCTGTCTGTGATTGTATGTTGTCTCTTGAACAGTGGTAGCCTTTGGCCCTTGTAAATATCCGTCCTAAATTTGTTGTCCATTGTTTCTGCAGTTGCGTTTCGTAAAGGATGTTTTCAAACACAAATAAGAATAGGCATATTGTAAAATCAAACGAAAAAACATTGAGGATCCATGTCACCGTTTTTGGATGGTTGACCTCTGACAGTCGGGAAGGTGTCCTTCCTTGTTTATGGCGCCTGTCAATGAAAGTGTGTGCCTGCCACTCTTGTCATGCTCTGTACCATCATAAGTGACCTCTGTATTCAGAGCACAACTGCACTAATCCTCTAAACAAGGCGACCATTCTTCAATACAGCCCCCACGTCAAGTTAGAGATTAGTCTATGGCTGTAGCTTAACTGGACATGCTTCTGGCCTGCAGATTTACATATGAAATAAAGACAGAAGTCTCTGTGGCATATAAAGGCATAAAAAGAAATAAGAGAAGTCAGAATTAATCATTGGTATTTACTTAACAATGAGTTTAAATCAAAAATACCTGGTTTAGATTATGCTTAATGTTATTAAAATCCCTTCGATGACTCAGACCGAGACTATTTAATTTCGCGATTTAACTAGTGGAAATAATAATGATAAATATTACAAATAGTGTGTTTTTCTTCACATAAACAGCATTACTTTGAAATGTATAGTCTATCCACAGCATTACAACACACAATAACATACTGGTTATCATACAATCAACATTCTTACAGTAGGTTTCAAAAGCCAAGCAGTCTACTCTCATGGTATTACTTAATGTGATTTTAGTATATAACAGGATAATAATTAATGTTATCAACTGACGCATGATCAGACTTGGGGTCAGAGTGGAGTGTGTTTCTTTACTGAGTAATTCCTCACGTTGGAGATTGAGATTATTATTACAAAATATTAAAAAAGACATTCTTTCACAGCAGTATATTAAGCAGTTTACCTGACTTTTACCAGTGACAACATTAAAGTGATGCATATGGATCAATGACTGTATATTTGTTTTAGAACTTTAAGTATGTTTTGTTGTTCAAACTTATGTACATTATATACCTTTCTAGACTGTGCTATTGTAGTAAAACTTTTAACTTTTAGCTAAGTATTTTTCCACCACTGGATATGTGCAATTACAGCAAAGACGTTCAACCAGCATGATGAAGAGCTTCCAACATACAGTAGAAGCCCCCAGTTGGTGTTCCTAAGCAGATTAATTGACGACAGCCTGTCAGTGGAGCAGGTTGTTGCATAATTATGCAGTACTGACACATTTGCAGTAAGCAAACCCAGCACTTCATCAGCAACATTCTCATTTATTCCAGCTAATTTAATCTGCATGAAAAACACGAGGGATAAGACTCTACCGATGTGAAATTCTCTTGAAATGTGGATTCAATTTAGATGGATGGATGGATGGATGGATGGATGGATGGATAGATGGATAACTGTGTGTGTGTGTGTGTGTGTGTGTGTGTGTGTGTGTGTGTGTGTGT